AGAGAGAGAGAGAGAGAGAGAGAGAGAGAGAGAGACCAGTAAGAGGCAGATGAAATGGTGGTTCAGGTGAGGGATGGTAGGATTTCAAGTAGGGGAACTTGGTATATATTAAAAGTTAAAGCTAGTAGAGTGTGAGGAAATCTGGATAGTGACAGCACCTAATTTTTGATAGCGGCCACAATGGTATTTCCAAAATACTAGTGTTTATCACTTCTCTGTCAGAGATGTATTATTTTTTCAAGGAAAGACTCCACAAGTTCATCTTCGCAGATTGACTTTGTACCAATGGAATTAATAATTTCCAAATGTTGCCAAGCATGGTAGCTCCAGCCTTTTAATCCTAGCACTCAGGAGGCAGAAGTGGGTGGATCTCTATGAGTTGTAGGCCAGCTTGGTCTATATAGTAAGTTCTAGGGTAGCCATGAGATTTTGTCTTAAAATAACAATATTAATCATTTCTAAATGTCATTTTTACAGTGAGAATGCAGAGGCGCTCGCTCAATTTTTGACCTTGGCACAATGGATACAGACTGTTCTTGCCAGAATATCAGGATATAATATGAAACACGCTAAAGGTTTGCTTAAATCTATCTTGTACTACCTATGTGGAAATTGTGTCTAAATCTTTAATTTAAAAAAAAGGAGAATTATAATGGAGGCAGTGGCAGGTGGATCTCTGAGATCAAGGCCAGCCTGGTGAGTTTCAGGCCAGCTGGAGCCACAAGGGAGACCCTGTCTCAAAACAAAAAAAAAATTATATTCAGTTTGCTTAATTTAGTAGTTTTTCATGCAGCCTTAATATTAATAAGAAAAACATTAAAACGGTTACCTTAAATACATATTCTTTACAGTTGAATGACAAGTGTTGCTATGGAGATATCTTAGAAAAATAATTAAAAGATCATTTAAAATATTTGTTGAGGAGGGGTTGGGGAGATGACTGAGTGGGTAAAGTGCATGCATAAGGACCTGAGTTTGAATCTCCAGCCCCTCTATAAAAGCTGGGTCCTGAAGGGAAAGAATCAGGTGGACCCTGGAGGCCTGCTAGCCAGGTGGTCTAGCCAAAACAGCAATCCTCAGTTCAATGAGAAACCCTGTCTCAAAAAATAAGGTGAGAAGCAATAAAAGCAGACACCTGTTGTCCTCCTCTGGCCTCCTAATGCACAATCACCAGCTCATGCACCCATGCATACATATGTACACACATACACATACCATTCCCCTACGCACACAATATTTAGTGAAGAAAAGTGTCTTTTATAGGTTTATCAATAAATGAAGGCAGAGTCCAGTTTGTTTGTTTATGTTCAAGGAGGATTCTTACAGTCTTGCCAAGGCTACCCTCAAACTCCTGCATTCCAGAAGTGCTCCTGCCTCACTCAGCCTCTTAGGTAGCTGGGATTAAAGGCAGATGCCACCATACCCTGCTTAAAAAAATTATTTAAGGACTGGAGAGATGACTCAGCACTTAAGAGCACTGGCTGCTCTTACAGAGGATCTAGGTTCAATTCCCAGCACCCACATGGCAGCTAACAATCATCCTAACTCCAGTTCCAGGGGACCCAACATCCTCTTCTGACCTCTGAGGACATTGCATGACACAGGTACTCCCACATATATGCAGGCAATATACTCATACATATAAAATAAAATAAAAATAATAAATAAAATGTTTTTTAAAATCTTTAAAAAAACAAAAACAATTAGGGGGCTAGAGAGATGGGTCAGTGATTAAAAGTACTGGCTGCTCCTACAAAGGACCTGGGTTCAAATCCCAGCACCCATGTGCTAGCTAACAACTGTCCCAACTCCAGTTCCAGGGTATCCAGCACCCTCTTCTGACCTCTGTGGGCATTGCATGAACTGGTACACTTACACACATGCAGGCAATACACTCATATACATAAAGTAAAATAAAAATAATAGATAAAATATTTTTTAAAAATTATTTGAGGGCTGGAGAGATGGCTCAGCAGTTAAGAACACTGGAGTTGGTCTTGCAGAAGACCTGGGTTCAAATCCCAGCACCCACATGTCAACTAACTGTAACTCCAGTTCCAGGGGATCCGACAGCCTCTTCTGTCCTTCATGGGCATTGCACGATGCAGGTGCACTTTCCTACATGTAGGCAATACATGCATACACATAAATAAAAATAATAATTAAAAAAAATTATTTGAGGGCCACACATGGTGAAAGTTATGTGTACCTTGCACAAAACATTAAGTAAATAAAAATGAAATTTTAAAAATTAAAAAAAAAGAGATATACAAGGAGAGTTATTGATAAGTCAAGATATTCATAATCTATTAGGTGAAAAAGCAAAAAAGCAACACTGTATGTGTGTGACATTTATATGAAAAAAATGAATATCACCCCAACTGCTGTCTTTGGTTGTCTGAGTAGAGAAGCTATGGCTGATTATTTTACTCATTAGTATTTGGTAAAGTGATCATGTATGGTTTTTAAACTAGGTAATTGCCAGGCACGGTGGCGCATGCCTTTAATCCCAGCACTCCAAAGGCAGAGGCAGATGGATCTCTGTGAGTTCAAGGCCAGCTAGGGCTACAGGGAGACCCTGTCTCAAAAAGAACAAAATAAATAAATAAATAAATAAAATAAATAAACTATGTAGTTGATCATTATACTAAACTTATTCATGATTTTTTTTTCTTTTTCCTTTTAATTTGTAAGGAGAAATTCCAAGTCTTCCTATCTTCTTTAATCAAGGAATGGGCGATTCCACTTTTGAGTTTCATTCCATCCTGAGTTTTGGAGTTCAGTCTTCGTAAGTATCTAAAGAGTTAAAAACTGGGTGTAGTGGCACAAACCTTTAATCTGATGCCAGGGAGGCAAATGCAGGCAGATCTCTGGGAGTTCAAGGCCAGCTTGGGCTATATAGTGAGACCCTGTCTCCAAAAAAAGGGAAATTTATAAAAATAAGAATGAAAAATAACCCCCCTTCTTTATTTGTAGAACTATCCCTTTATTCCATTTATTTTCTGTCTGAAGTTTTATTTATATTAGTAAAATCAAATAGTTTGAGTTTTTGTATTTTATTTATTATTTGTGTGATATGTAAATGTGTATGTGATGAGGAAGGGACATGCACATGTAGAGGCCAGAGGATGTTTGTGGAGTTGGTTCTCTCCTTTACTTGGGTTCCTGGGATCAAACTCAGGCTGTCAGGGTTTCACAGCAAGCATGTTTACTTGCTGAACCATCTTGCCAGCTTGTTTTGTGATATTAAAGTGATGTGTAATCGTGTGCACCATGCCTCTAAGTAACCATTTTTGACCCACAAAAATGCCAGTTTTGTATGGTCCAAGCTACAGACTTCATTTAAAGTCACATTTAATTTGCCTTGTAACTTTCTTTAAAAGAACTCATGTTATTCCACCCTCAATTATTTTTCATGTAAAATTGTAATACTGTCTTCCTAATCTACCTCAAAGTTATTGAAAGATATTTATGTGACAACACTTTGAAAAATATATAATGTCCAAAATGAGGTATTATTTCATGAATATTGTTGTGCCCAGTTCGTGAGACCCCAAAGACTACCAAGGAGCCGACTGATGCAAGCACACAAGGGTTCTTTTATTGTTGCAAGCTTAAGCTTGGGTCCACTCTGTCACTGATTCAGCGGATCTCAGATGTGAGACCCCTTGCTTTGGGAGACAGAGGTTTTCATAGGTTTATTTCAGCAAGTTCAGCAAGTAGGGGAGTAGGGGGGATCTTCAGCCTGGCAAGCATCTGATTGGTTGCAGGTCAGTGCCAAACCATAAACTGCTGAAAAGATATCTGGACTTTTAGTACTTTCCTGTCCCTTGTTAATTGACCGTTGGCAGGGGAGTTGTTCTCTATCTGTTCAAAGTATTGTGGTTTTTCTTAGAACAGGGCTCAGGGCTGGGTCAGTCCTATGGAGGTTTTATCCAAGATGGAGTCACTCCGGTCTCTCATTCCCCCCTCTGACTAATACCTTGGGGGCCCAATCATGGGCGCTCCCTCATCTCATGTTCTTCATCAGTCCGCATTATCATTAGCTGTATCCCTGCCAGCCGCTCTTTTATAAAAGCTACCAATTTATTTAAAATGCAAGGCCCAAAAGTCAAGAGCATAATCAGAATGAGGAGAGGTCCGAGTAAGATTGAAATCAAAGTGGTCAACCAAGGGGAGCTATTGAACCAGGATTCAAACCATCCTTGTTTAGCCCTGTATTCATTCTCCCTTTGAGCCAGACTTTTTCTAACCTTGGCCAGGGATTCTTTGATGACCCCAGAGTGGTCTACATAAAAACGACACTCTTCCTTAAGGGAAGCACAGGGGCCTCCCTGCTGCCAGAACAAGTCTAGGCCTCTCCTATTCTGCAGAACCATTTCTGCCAAGGAGGTTAGGGATTCTTGTAGATGGGAAATAGACGTTTCTAAGTTCTGGATGTCCAGGTCTATTGCAGCTCTAAGGCTATGGTAGTTTTGGCTTTGTAAAGTTAAGGCTGAAATTCCTGTACCTACTCCTGCCAGTCCCAATCCTAGAAGAACGGATAGGGTGATGACAGTAACAACTTCTCTTTCCTGGCGATTACAGTGAAGGGGTCCTTGCCTGGTTAGGGCCCTATTTATATCCTGGTCTGAATGATAAATAATTCTAGGGATTAGTTGTACTAGAATACAAAAATCTGATGACTGATTAAGAACTTTAGAATGGACACATGGGGTTAGTCCCGAAGTACATGCCCATCATCCTTGATTTGGCCAGCACTGGCAGAGTCTGGTTGCATAGGGCAGTGTACTCATGAGGGGGCATGCCTATACACAGCCCTCATCCTGAAACATCTTGTAGCGTAAGCCTGATTTTTTTCCTGCTGAGCCCATCTACAGCTGCCTTAGTCCGGCACCAGGATGGTGTTTCCTATGAATGCAATCCCCTCATAGTATGGGGGCCTTGATGAATAACATAACCAGCATGATGAGGTGAGGTCTGGCCTGGTATCATTGAGTACCTGGTAAGTCTCGATCATTAATGACCAAAGCAGGTCAGTGTCACCTATAGGAAGGTCATGGCTGTCAGAATAGCCATTATTTGAGGGGGCCACCGTGGTTGATAAGATTAACTCTGGGGTAACCTTTAAAACAGCACCTGGTCCCAAGGGGACCAAATGGGTCTGGTACTGAGGAACTCTTACTCTTAATCGAATAGAGAATAAAGTTCCTGGATCTGGTTCAATCCAGCCCACATAGAGTCTTATTTCCCAAATTTTTCCCGCTTCTCAGATGGTGGCTCTCCTTCCTTCTTCAGTAAAACTAATATCGAGCCTACCATTTTTATGAGGATTAGTGGGTATCGGTTGCTCCCACATTACCTTAATAAGATCTCCTCCCCGAGGGGTCCACCATATGTGTCCCATTGTTTCACAGCCCCATCGAGCGCAATAAGTAGCGCTATCCTCTCCACACCTGCTTCTCTGGAACTTGTATTTTGGCATTCCAGGCCCTGGGCAAACATAGAACCAGCCTGGTTTTCTGTATGGGCCTGGAGAGTTAGAGCATGAGGATGTGCGCCTCCCTTAGGACTGAAATCAAAGAAGACATCTCAGGAGTGTAGAGTTGGGAACCAAGTAGCCGGAGGCGCTACTTGGGAGATCTGAAACAATATATTGCCTCCTATCACATCTTGGAGGACCCAAGTCAGATTCATAGGCTGATGCAGGCTTCCCGGAGCAGGAGTGGTGATCATGGGGAACAGAATATATACAGTCAACAGTTTGAAAATCGGGTGAGCTTTAGCTTGAGCGAATTGTTGGGGTCCTTTGAAACTCTCCATCCTGAAGCTGGGGATGTGCAGTCCTCTATGGTGAACAGGTGAGCTGGCCGTACATGTGTGTGGTGGATCCATGATGCTACACCATCCTCTTTGAGGGCTGTGGGGGTGGTCAGTAGGATGACACAGGGCCCCATCCACCGTGGCTCTAAGGATCCTTGCCGATGCCTCTTAACGTAGACCCAGTCACCGGGTCGATATCGATGAAGTTCTGGAGGGGGTCCTGTCTCATAAAGAGCACTTAATTTAGGCTATACATGTTTATGGGACCATTGGACTCCCCTGAGGTCATTCAACAAGTCCCGATCTTTAAATTCAGTAATCTTTTCTGCCTGGAGGTTAGGAATAATGGGAGGGGGCATTCCAAACATGATCTCAAAGGGGGTTAATCCCATCTGGTAAGGGGAGTTACGTTCTAGATAGAAGGCATACAGAGTTACATACTCAATAGAGGATGAATGGAAAGAGAGTCACCCAGTCACTGCCAGTCTCTAAGGTCAATTTAGTTAAGGTCTCTTTCAGAGTTCTATTCATTCTCTCTACCTTTCCTGAACTCTGGGTTCTATAAGCACAATGTAGTTTCCAATCAATTCCCAGAACTGTGGCCAGACTCTGACTTATGTTGGACACAAAAGCTGGTCCATTATCTGATCCTATCATCTGTGGAAAGCCGTACCTGGGGAGGACGTCTTCCAACAGTTTCTTTGTCACCATTTGAACTGTTTCATGTTTAGTAGGGAAGGCTTCAGTCCATCCTGAAAAAGTATCTACAAAGACTAGCAAGTAACGGTAGCCATACCTGCCAGGTTTTACCTCAGTGAAATCCGTTTCCCAGTAGGCTCCAGGTTTTCTCCCTTGAAGTCTGATTCCTGGGTTTCTAATATTTGGCACCACATTAGTGAGTTGGCAAGCTTTACAGCCGTTGACAATGTCTTTAATCTTTAAATTAGTGTCCTTTATTTTTACTTCAGCATGTCGAATTAAGTCCTGCATCCTCTTGATGTCCATGTGGGAAGAATGGTGTATCTTTGCCAACATTTGTTTTCCTAATTTTTCTGGGAGGATCACCTTCCCTTCTGCTGACCTCCATCATCCTTCCAGACATTGGGTCCTCGGCAGTCCTTTTATCCATTTCAGATCCTCCCCGGTGTATTTGGGCTTTTCGGGGAGGTTTGGGTCACCAGGGTCAATTAGTGTGGTGACCAAGATTGGGTTAATTTGGAGGGCAGCCTGTTTAGCCGCCTGATCCACTTGATTGTTTCCTTGGGAAATCGGATCATCCCCTTTTTGATGACCTGGCAGTGGAAAATTGCCAATTTCTTTGGCAGCCAGAGAACCCTCAGCAATGTTAGGATTTCTTCTTTATTTTCGAAAGTATTTTCCTCTGCCATTAATAAGCCCCATTCCCGACATATTGTCTCATGATGTGCTCAGTGGCAAAGACATATTGGCTGTCCATCTACACATTAAGATTTTTGTCCTTTCCCAATACCAGTGCCTTTTTAGGGCAATAAGTTCAGCCTTTTGGGCTGAAGTGCCAGTGGGAAGAGGCTCTGCCCAAATGATGTCAGTTAATGATACTACAGCAGCCCCTGCATACCTCTTGCGTGAACCAGGTTACTTCAGCATCAGATAACAGGGTGTCTCTCAAATCTGATCAGGTATCGTGGACATGGGCCAGGATTCTGGCACAATCATGCAGGGGGGCATCCAAGTCTGGGTCTGGCAAGAGCATGGCTGGATTCAGGGCAACTGGTACCTGGAAGGTGATTCTAGCAGGATTAAGAAGTAATGCCTGATAATGAGTTATATGGGCATTACTTAGCCATCTCTCTGGGGGCTGCTTTAAAATTCCTTCAATTGCATGTGGTGTGGTGATGGTCAAGTTCTGGCCCAAAGTCAGTTTGTCGGCATCTTTTACCAGTAGTGTTTCTTTGAGGACATAGCCCAAGTATTGGACCTGTTGTTTGCATAGTTGGGCCTTTTTAGCAGAGGCCCGAAAGCCCAGGCTTCCCAACGTCTGCAACAGGTGTTCTGTAACGTCCATGCAAGTCTCTTGGCTGTCTGCCGCCACAAGTAGGTCATCCACATACTGCAAGAGACTCCTTTCCCCAATGCTATCTGTCTCAGATGCCTCCACCGGTCCTCTGGATCTGCCCTGGCAGCCAGCAGGATCCTTGCCAGGATCCTTGTTTCCAGGTCTTTGTTCTGCCTCCTTTCTGCCTTTATCTGGTTTTCCTCTGCACTATCCCTATTATTGTACACTTTCTTGGCCACAGTTATTAAATCCCTTAAGTTCTTCTCCCCCAGTCTCTCTACTCTT